CTTTATTATTTTACTGCAAATTCCTTTGAAGTTTTTTTTTTTTAACCAAAAAAGCTGAATAAAGATAGTGCAGCCATTCTCAATGGGGCCATATGGCTCTGGGGGGGGGGGGCTGGCACATTTAAAGGGGACCACAAACCAGAAACAATTTTTCAAATACTGTACCACCTTATAAGGTTTGTTATGTGACTCATACAGTCCTGATTCAGTCTATATTTCTTTCATATCATGTTTATGGCTGTGGCCAAATATAGGTTGAGAATGGCTGGTACTGTGGCTCGCAAGCAAACCTGACCCCTGCTGCTATTAAGTCCATTGGCATAAACATCAGCAGCAAACTGCTGTTAGTTAAAAAGCTCGATGTAGGCATTTTATGTATGGATGGTCCATTATGTGTCACACCATTCATGTGATTTGGCATGTGGCAAAAAAAAAATCCCTGTTCCAACTTGTTAACTAGCAGCATTTTCTTCAACTGGATTCTGGCTAATATCTAAAAGAGAGTAAAAGGAAAAATAACATGAAAGAGCAGTGCTGGCCTACAGAAAGAGCTAACACTGGAAGCAGAAGACCCAGGACCAAGCACCATCACTTTTAATAGAGTCAACGTGTCATTTTGATCATGAGTTACATTTGAGCTATGGTTCCCCATTTATAAAATAGGAAGACCAGCGATTTACTTGAGATGGCTGTAATAGTTTTCAGACACAAAACTTTTACTCTTGGAAATGCCTCAGAGCCACTGCAGAATTCACAGGTTAAAGCAGAAGGTGACTTTACTGGGTGAGGGGTCATGCTGGCTTTCATGGCACCCACAAGAGCGACATTCTTGTGTCATCAGTGAAACATACCACCACCACTGTTTCCATTGCAAAAAGCCGACAACCCTGCTTGGAAACAGGACAGTGCTCCTATGCACCATGTTTCCCAGCAGAAATGTGGGATTTGGGCAGCAGAACCTTTGGTGGCAATGGCAGTGACCATGAAGACGCACAACCCACAGATCCAAATCTGCAGGAGTGTTATTTACATACCACCTTCAAGAACATGGCATCTTAGACATAGTTCATCTGTGTGTCTTATATATGGAACTTACAATCTAGATAGTGTGAGAGATACCAGGAGGGAAGCGATGTAAGAAGTGCAGCTGCAGAAGCTATGAGGCAACTTTGCTCCTTGTCACCAGTTAGGAATCTAAGGACCAAAAGTTGTTTGCAGTACTTGAATGCCAGCCAGACCATCAGCAAGGAAGGAGTCAACTGGACTCAAAAGGATATGTATCAATGCCTCTTAAAAGCTTAACACTTTACTGTAGGATTGTCAGATTAGTTCTGCTCCCTTCCTTTTCTTAACGGCTCCTTTTCCATTGGTTTAGGCCGTAATGCAAAGGGCAAAATCCATGTCTTGGTTTGATTTGATTTGATTTGATTGAGTAATTCATTCATTTTGTACAAATCCATGTCTTGGTTTGATTTGATTTGACTGAGTAATTCATTCATTTTGTATCCTGCTCCCATTAATGTCACAGCACTACTCTGGGCAGGTTACAACTTGTAAAATAGAAAACAAAAATAAAAATATTAATACTAAAACTGAAAGCAATAACCCTAAAAAAACAGATGGCACAAACTAATCTCAGAGTGGATGGAAGAGGGAAGGAAAGAAGAGGGGGAAGAGAGAAAGGGAGGAAGGTGGTGTAGCATACAGTCCTGACCTCACCTGCCCATCACCGCAGTACAGACACAAGAGTCAACAAGTGGAAGGAAGGCGGAGCTGGGCGGGGAGGGAGCAGAATAAAAAGACTGGTGGGTGGAGTCTGAGAGGGAGAGGGACTGTGTGTGGCTTAAAAGTGAGAGAAGAGCGAGTTAGAGAACTGTAAGAGTATAGATTGAAGCAGAGGGTTGAAAGAGATTTAAAGTACAGTCGTGACCCACTTAGCGATTGCCCCGCATTACGACAAATCTGCTTTACGACAATCTTTTTGCAACCGCAATTGCGATCGCAAAACGATGGTCTAAATGGGGGAATTTCGCTTAGCGATGATCGGTTCCCTGCTTCAGGAACCGATTTTCACTTTGCGACGATCAAAAACACCTGATCGTTGGGTTTTCAAAATGGCCACCGGGTACTTAAAATGGCTCCCCGCTGTGCTTAGTGACAGATTCCTCGCTATACAGGCACCGAAAATGGCTGCTGTATGGAGGATCTTCGCTGGACGGTGAGTTTTTACCCCATTGGAACGCATTGAACGATTTTCAATGCATTTCAATCGGGTTTTTAATTTCGCTTTACGATATTTTCCCTTCACAGCGATTTTCCTGGAACGGATTATCGTTGTTAAGCGAGGCACCACTGTACTATCTTAACTGATTCAAAGATGTATAAGTGATTCGTAACCTGTAATCTACCCCATGAGTAACTATTGATTATTAACTTCCCTGATTAAATAAGACTTAACAGCACACTTGTCTCCATACTCTTCTTCGCGGGAGGCAGCGAAGAAGAAAGTAGAGTGAGAACCTCGTGAAGGCCTGGGGGGATAGGGACTTCAGAGGAGATTGCAACAGGTGGTCAGCTGGGGTTGGTGTGGAAAGCCTTCCTGTAAAGCAATGTCTTTAACTGCTTCCTAAAAGTCTACAGGGCAGGGGGTTAGGTGGAGCTCCTCTGGAAGCTGGTTCCATAAGGTTGGAGCCACCGTAAAGAAGACCCTACCTCTTATAAGGAGCCACCGCAAAGAAGGCCCTACCTCTTATAAAGGATTTAGGGGCCTCTCTCAGGGTGGCCACCTGGAGGAGCCTTGACTGGGATAATCTTGTGGGTCTGACAGATGACATTAAGGAGAGACACTCCGACAAGGAACATGGGCCCAAACTATGGAGAGCTTTGTATGCGAGTGTCAAAACCTCGAACCTGATCCAGGACATCACAGACAACCAGTGGAGGCGAGCCAGAACTGGAGTGATGTGGTCAAATTTACTTGCACCAATCACCAGTCTGGCTGCTGCCTTCTGGACCTGCCAAAGTCTCTGGATCAGTTTCAAGTGGAGCCCCATATGGAGGGCATTGCAGTAGTTGATCTGGGAGATGACCAGGGCCTGCACTAAAATCCTTGAGGGAGTCCTCATCTAGGTTAGATGACCAGGGCCTGCACCAAAGTCCTTGAGGGAGTCCTCATCTAGGCTGGGGCGAAGTTGGGCAATTAGCCCAAGCTGGTTAAAGGCTGATCTGGACATGGCTGCAATTTGGGACTCCCATGAAAGAGCCGGGTCCAGAAGAATGCCCAAATTACGCACTTGGTCCCTAAAATGGAGGGGAGTACCATCCAGCTGAGGGGCCATCCTCGCCTAACCTATTAGTATGTCAGTATTCTGGAACTAATTACATAATTCATAATGATAATTAATCTTACTACTAATAATGGGATATATTCCACTGATGCTAAACATAAGTATGCATTGTTTCAACTAAAAGTAGGACAAAGGAATTATAGGTAAATATGAAATAAACATATAGAGTGGCATTATTTAGAAGTAGCCCTGCTCCTTTACCCTGACGGAAGATTATATATTTCCTTCTCAATAGGGACAAAATAAGGGTCCATTAGAACGGCAGTGTGAATGTTACAAAAAATAATAATCACTTGTTGTGAATAGCTCCCAAATCTTATGAGGCACAAGAAAATGTTGTATTTGAAAAATGCAAGAGTTCACCTAGTATTAATCAGCTAGGTCTGGCTCCAGTGAGATCAGGCAGAGAAACCTTCTGGAAAATTTCCCAGTGCTTTACTTTGATGAAGAAAAAAGAAAATCACTTAATATCTTTCTTGTATCTTTGACTTCCCTGTGAAGCCAATTTCAGCACAGGATCACTGCAGAGAATCACAGGGTTGTACGTGTATATTCTTGTTGGATCAAAATAGTTGGGTGTGATATAGAATAAAAGCAAGGCTGACTATTAAGTTACTTACAAGTTTAGATTACGTAAAATAAGATCACATCAGGTCATCAATTATTGAAACACAGCATCTCCAAGGCAACTGGAGGTGATTCACCATACAGTGTAAACTGTGCCAGCATTAAAAAAAATCTTTCATAATGAAAACATCCTTGTCAGAGATGGCAGAGTTTTGCTCTCCAGTGTAGTATGACCACTTTTTGAATGTGTGCTTAGGGCACTACTAAATGAACAACCAGTTACAGATGATGCATGTATGGAGTTCTCTGCATTTGGTGACTTGCGACAGTATATGTAAAGCAAATCTACTGAAATGCTTCAGATTTGAAATTTATAATCCGTCTGAAGTATTTACTATGTGCAATGCCTCATTCACAAATCTGAATCACTACCTGATATAAGAGGCTTTGACTGCCTCTTGCTGTGATTTTTGGTTTGTCCTCATGGACCAACCTAGACATCCGTGTTTTACTAGCAGAATGGGCTTGTTCACAAAGTGCTGTTTAGAATGACGAATTGTTAGATTGGAGCTACAGCCAAACTATCCTAATTGCTGCAGAACGTGTTTCCAGGAAGCTCACATCACCAGCCTCAGCAACTGGTGACTCACCAAGACGAAAGTAGCCCACCATCTCTGCAGACTGGCTTACTAAGAGCTTGGCAAGGTTCCAATCTTTGCTCTTCTCTGGAACTGCAAAAACCTTGTTAGAAGTCTGCAGTGTGTGTGTGTATTGCGGGAGGTGGGGGTTCTGTGGCTCGAATTGCCAAAGCTCTCCATCCAAATGTTTAGTGTTAATATTAATCTATTCCACAAGTAGATATAAGGAAAAAATTCTCAGCATCTCACACTCATTAACATGATGAAACTAGTATTAACCCCCCTCTTGCTAGATGTCTGCTGCAGGCAGCTCCTCTCAATTAACAATTGCTAAACAGACAAGTCATAGGTTTGACTGGTGTAAACACTCTGCTGTATTTGATTTGGAAGCATTACAGCAGGAAAAAAAATGTTCCCTAAGCAAGGCTGTGTTGCAAGTTCAACGTACCATTCGAAAGTCTTCCTCGAATTTGTAAGCACCTCCTCCTGTGGCACAAAGCGTGGTGTGCAGGCTTGAGAAGTTTTTTTCACTACCCATCTGTATGAACCTGTGCATAGCACAGCTGGGAAAACGGATAAAGTGAAGGTTCCCTTTACGGCCACACATAGTCAGGTTTTTCAGTTCAAGGTGGACATCTCGAATGCCCGTTTTACCATAGGCTGTATTGGAAGTCAAGTACTTCCTAATGCTTTTCAGGTTTTCCACCTCCTCCTGTTCCTCTTCAGCTGTAATGTCTTTTGGCTCAAAGTAGACCAGTTTAACAAGCGTCCCACCAATATCCATGCCAAACCATGGGAATGCTAGAAGGAGGGAGGGAAAAAAACATTGATTACTATATGAACACTATAAAAACAAATTCTGAAAATGAAATTCAATCACAGCAAACGTGGAGAATTAGAAAACTGGTCACTGATTGCACTGATTTGGAAGCACTGCCCATTTCTCTGAATAAGACACAGATTTCTTAAATTTTGTTTATAGTTTAGCAGAAGACAACACTCCACAAGCTGGTGCTCTGAAAATGTGTTTCACTACAGCCCCCACCATCCCCAGCCAGCAGGGGCATAGATTCGGGGTGACTGATCTATACTGTGATGCTAGCAAAAGAAGCCTAAGAACCTTTAGTGGGTTAATAATCTCAACAGGGTTTAAAGGAACTTATCTTGAATCTGTTCAACACTAAACAAAACTTATTTTGGTAATTCTTAATATATCTTCACAGCAATAAAATTATTATCACAGGTTAAGTGGTCAATCCTCTGCTCCTACATCTTTTTTGGAGGGGGGGGGTTAGAGAGAAGATACCTGAACCTATGACATGCATAATTAGTATACAGACTGATTTTATTGTGTACAATAAAGTACATTCAGGAGATTAAAAAAATTTCCTGGTCCACTGACAATTGTCCTCTTGCCTACTATATCTGCTCTCTCTCTCTCTCTCCCTCCCTCTCTCTCTATCTATCTTTTTTCACATTACAATGGCCATTTGTACCTTGTAAGCCTTATCAACAAACGTTGGTATGTTCATACCTTGTTTCGCCCTTCCCCTAACATTTCCCAGTTGCCATCATTTTGTCAGTAGGCTCCCTGGGGAAGGCTCTGCCCTTTTAAAATTAACCTTATTTGTAAAGCACATGTGAATTTCATAGCACAAAATAGAAGTAATTAAAGCTCTTGCATGCAAATCTTTTTGCAAAAAAGTGGGAAACACCAATGAAATAAAATAATTTGCCTGCCCCTGCTCTGTTTCTACCATAATAATGAAACAGAAATGGGTTTAACAATAATAAAATAAAATTCTTCCACTGTATTCATATGCCATCCAGCTGCTTTGCAGAAGTAAAACAATCAACATCTTTCTTCTGAAATGCAACTTACTTAACCATTTAACTTTTAAAACCGATTGTGACACTTAGTACCTAGTACAGTACAATGTTTGGCCATGACATTATTAATCTGCCCTTTCATTAATGGAACAGATGGAACAGATATAAAATTCTGTATTTTGTATTACCAAAACAAAACAAAACAAACAAACCTCAAATCCTGCACCAGTATTGACCATGGTCCCTTCACATACCAAATCTAGTGTATAATTATAATATTTAATTCTAAAATTGCCCATAGATTGAGGCGAGATGAAAAGGAAAAGGAAAAGGGAAGGAAAGAAGAGGATAAGACTTTCTGACTGATCTCTTTCCTTGCCTTCCTCCATTGGGAAACAAGGCTCCTAAAATAGAATACTTCTATTTTTGGCACTGACACAATGGCTGCGGGATGTGTGAAGAAGAGCATGTGTGCCCAGACCAGCTGATCTAAATTTAACAATGGAACATATGGCAAAGTCTTGTTGAAAGGAAAACAAAAACAGAAAGGGGGAAAACCCACCAGTATGAGAGAGTTAGTTTGTTGACATTCTTGCTTTTTTTTTTTTTGAATTATTACTTATGGATGGCTATTGCAATAGATGACCGGTCAACAGTAAAACTGAGGGTTAATTTGACCTAGGGTCAACTCACTCCCCTCACTGAAGCTATCAGAAACAAACAAATAAAAAACCCCACACACTCACACTCCCTGCAGCAGGTATAATGCTTAACTTGCAATCCTATGAACACTCATCTGGCAGTTAGGTCCCACTGAATTCAGTGGGATTTATTTCTGAGCTGGCATTCTCAGGGCCTCACTGTTCAGAAGATTTTCAAGGTACTCCCCATGCAGCCATGTTAGGCCAGATCTGTAGATAATTATCAGCCATATTGGCATGCAGATGCTAGGTGCAAGATGGAAGGTAAGAGCTTTTTTTGTTGCTACACCTGAAATAATACTTCCCAGATGCCTCCCTCTGGGAGTAAGGGACAGGTTTTGAACCAGCCCTGAATCTTAAGGTATTTGGGACAATAATCTATTCTCAGTTTTCTCTGGCAAACAGATATGTAGCTTTGGGGTGGGTCAATTTCAAAGGAAGATTATCTCTTTTTCAGGGAAACAAACTAAAATTAGTGTTGGGGGGGTAAGATAGGAGACAACCATGTGTGACTTTGTCACTGTTATGATTCTTTTTAGAAATGAAATAAGCATTCTTGAAGTTTCCAAAGCATCAAATTACAAGCTTAAATACATCAATTGATATCATCAAGGCAAAAGCCGCCTAGAGCAGTCTTATAGGCCAGATGGGCAGGGTATATATAAACAAACAAACAAACAAACAAACAAACAAACAAACAAAGGGTGAGGTTAAAGACATCTAACCAGAAGGAAAAAGAGAAAATTAAGATGGTTGTTGTAGGTTTTAATGGGCTGTTTGGAGATTGGGTGATTATGGTGATCATGGTGTTTTTTGTTATGGGTGTATGGGGAGGAGATGATCTGCCACTGTGATTGATGGGTGTTGCTAGCTATCACCCAATCTCCTGAAAAGGACTAAAAGCTCATCCCACAGCTACAAATACTCAACAATCCTACACCAGAACACAGACAGAGTTCTAACTCCTGTCCTCTGAAGATGCCAGCCACAGAAACTGGTGAAACGTTAGGAAGAAAAACCTCATGGCCAAAAGAGCCCGAAAAACCTACAACATCTATCGGATCATGGCCGTGAAAGCCTTTGAGAATACATTACTGTACACAAAATTAAGAACTTATCCTATAGCCAAGGTATGAGACATTCCCCACATCCACTTTTTACTACCTGCTAGTTCTGGACTTGAGCAAATGATCACCTCTTTTATGTTATCTATTTTAAAAGATTCTTTGAAGATAAAACAAGAACCATGAATGTTTGCCCCAACCACTTCAACAGTCACTTCCATTTGTACATTCATAGTCTTGTTAGGAAAGGTCTAAGAGCTGAAAGATATACAGTATAGCTGATTCTGGAACAGTGGAGGCAACATTTCCTACAACTAAGAATCAGATTTTAGGAGCCTTGATGCAAGTGGGCAAAACACTAACTAGCTTTGCTATAAAACAATTACTGCCATGGTTTTCAAAAGGTGACTGTCACTCACACCAGGTGACGTCTGGAGATTCTAAGGATTCAGATTTTGAAATTTTACTGAGCTCTTTTGGCAATTTAGAAAAGAAATGGATAATACTGCTAATATTGACACAACATTACATTAGTAGAAGGAGGCGGTTTAAATTGTTAGCAAAGTTGGCCTGACAACATGAATATCCATATAAAACCACTGAGTTGAATGAGACATAGCTTGTATTATGTGTGCAAAGGTCTGCAAGTTCTTATTTTTCCACAGTATATTCTGAAATTTCACACCGCTACACAAGTTCTCCCACCAATCTGAAAGCTGAAGGTCTTTCATTTACAGTTCCCCAGAATCATCCCAAAGTCAATTCTTTGCAAGTACGTACTACTTTAACAGGGAAGGTGAAGCCATTCCTATCTTTAAGAAATATAGAGCAATCTATCTGCAACAAGAGTATACCGAACAGGACCTTGATTTCCATACAGCATTTTCACTACTCTTACACCTCTTCTGCCTTCAGAGCTGACATGCAGAGTAACACACCTGATGCCCCTCCAACTGCAGATAAACTCACTGCCTTTTTTGACTCAGCTAAAAATACAAGTAAGGGAATTTGTGAACTCACCAGATTCTTCTACAATGCTTTCCTCTCAAAAGGTAATAAATCTGCATGGAAAATAAACCGAGCGAGCAGAAACAATGAATTACAGTATCGACTTCACAAAGTGTTCCTAACTTGGAATTATGTTGTCTTCCCATCATGAAAGAGGACAATATATACAGACTTTATTGAATTAACTTCACAACAACCCCATTTCCACTTCAAGATGCACCTCTGAACCCACTTGTTATCACCTTCTCTACAAATTAGCAAAAAATCCCAATTCCCTCAGACTTGCATACTATCTTTGGACATTTCTTTTTAAAAATAATAGATCAAGTCTCCCAGGGTACAAAATACTCTTTTAAAAACAGTACTATGAATCCACATCAAGGTATAATCTACAGTATGTAGTGCTGTTTCCAAGTCTTGGCTATCCCTAACACTATCGAATACTTGCACTTGGCATCCGATTCATACCTACATTCTACTAATACCACAAAAATATTCAAGCAAGAGCATAGGCACAGTCCATTTTTACCCAAAAGAATGTGTACGAACCAGGTAAAGAATGATGTCTCATAGCTGCACAGCCTGGAGGAACTGATCCTGTCCCAGCAACCGGTGAGACTGTGAAGAGACTACTTGGCTCAGCAGGCAGTTCAAATTTTTTTTCTGGTTTTATTCCATTTACACAAACAAACTTCACACAGGAAAATGTACTCTGCTCTTTGTTGTTTGTGAGAATATATCCCCAAACAGTACATGCCAATGTCTGCCTAAAAGAAGACTAACTTACAAGCCACAGAAAAAATGCCAAAAGCATGGATGGATTTCTTGTGTGGAGCTCTGAAAAACCAGTGACCTGAAAGCATATGTACAACAATTAAGTCAAGGGCTTTGTATTTTAAATAAAAACTGAGTCTTAGGGTCAACACTAATGAGATAATGTTTAATGATATCCTGATTAAACAGTGTAGTACCAAGTGGCTCACATCATACTGCAGCACGGCACATGGGCTCTCATACACTAATCTCATTACAGATTTATACAAATCCGGGTTTTCAAGCTATAGAGAGTGTTAATATGTCTTTCTCAGGACAGATGCAAATTCACCCTTCTGGAATGCTACAACTATCTAACCATTAGTGGATGAAAGATTAAAGCTATTCAAAATAATGGACAGCAGAGTCCAGCTGCACCATACAG